GTTCATATTGAAGGAGGACACCAATATGAAGACTGGGTGGGGCCGCAGCTGAACCTTGTCTTTGTAGAAGACTGTGTACGGCAGTTCTGAGGTCAAGGCTTTAATTTCAGAGACTCGTCTCGCTGATGTCACCTCCACCAGTAATGTGACCTTCCATGACAGATGGGGAAGGGAACAGGAACCCAGCAGCTGAAAGGGTGGGCCTGTGAGCCTAGAGAGGACCAAGTTAAGATCCCATTGTGGGACAGGAGTCCGTACCTGCGGGAAGAATCTCTCGAGCCCTCTCAAGAATCTGACAGTCATGTCATGGGAAAACACCGTCTGTCCTTGGATCGGCAGGTGAAAAGCGGAGATGGCCACGAGATGCACTCTAACAGAAGAGTGTGCCAGGCCCTGGTTCCTCAAATGAAGCAGGTAGTCTAGGACAGCCTGTATGGAAGATCACGAGGGAGAGAGGCCACACTCGGAGGCCCAGTGGGAAAACCTCATCCCCTTGGTCAGGTAGGTCAGTCTAGTTGAGGGCTTCCTACTTCCGAGGAGGACCTGTTGGACCTCCTCTAAACAGGTCCGCTCCTCCGGGTTCAGTCATGCAGCATCCACGCCGAGAGGTTGAGGAACCAGAGGTCGGGGTGTATCAGCCGACCATGGTCCTGTGACAGAAGATCCGGTCGGTTGGGCAGGGGCCAGGAAGGGGCCGCTGATAGGTTCATGAGTGTGCCGAACCAGTGCTGGCAAGGCCACGCTGGGGCACTCATGATAACCCGCACCCTGTCTCTCTCGATCTTTGCCAGGACCTTGGTGATGAGAAGGATCGGAGGGAATGCGTACATCAGGCCCCCTGACCATGACAGGAGGAAGGCATCGGAGAGGGAGTCCTTGCCCAGACCTTGCCAAGAGCAAAACCGATGACATTTTCTGTTTTGCCTGGTGGTGAACAGGTCCATTTGCGGAGTTCCCCACCTCTGGAAGGCCATGTAGACTAAATCCTGGTGGAGCAACCACTCGTGGTGAGAGGAGAACCCCCTGCTGAGGTGATCTGCTAGCGTGTTCTTGACGCCAGGGAGATGACAAGCCTCCAGGTGGATCTCATCATTGACACAGAAGTTCCAGAGCCAGAGTGCCTCTTGGCAGAGAGGCGATGAGCACGCTCCCCCTTGCCTGTTGATGTAGACCATCGAGGCTGTGTTATCTGTCAGGACTCTCACCAGGTGAGGTAGGAAGATGCTGCATGCCTGACAGGTGAGGTAGGAAGATGCTGCATGCCAATCAAACCGCTCTGAGTTCTTTGATGTTTATATGGAGCACCATCTCCCCTGAGGACCACATACCCTGGGTCTGGAGATCTCCAAGGTGCGCACCTCAGCCAAGGCATCTGACATCGACTCCATGGACTGGGAATAGGCAGTCGTCAGCCACTGCTGCAGGGGCCGCATCCCGAGCCTGGCATGGTTGACAATGTACGTGCAAGCTGCCATGTGGCCCAGCATATGCGTGGCCCAGCCCAAGGAAATGCAGATACCTCTGCGATAAGGTCTGTCAAGGCTCAAAAGCTTTCTAGCGGCAGGAACACTCTCGCGCAGATTGAGTCGAGCACCGCTCCATTGAATTCTATCCTTTGCACTGGCATGAACATGGACTTTTTGTCATTCACCAGTAGACCCAGGGAGTGGCAAGTGGCTTGCAGCACCGCAACATCCCTTTGCACCTGAGACCTGGAGCTGCCCTTGATGAGCCAGTCATCAATGTACAGGTAGATCTGGATACCCCAGCGCCTGAGGTAAGCCGCCACCACCGACATGTACTTGGTAAACACTCTCGGTGCAGTCGCCAGGCCAAACGGGAGGACTGTAAATTGATAGTGGACCGATCTCACCGTGAAATGGAGAAAACGTCTGTGCCCTTAGAAGATCGCTATGTGAAAATATGCATCCTTTAAGTCCAGGGCGGCATACCAGTCTCCTGGATCCAGGGAGGGGATGATAGAGGCCAGGGAGACGATGCGGAACTTCAGCTTCTTTAGGTACTTGTTGAGGTCTCGCAGGTCCAAAATGGGATGCAGACCGCCCTTGGCCTTTGGGATTAAAAAATATCGGGAATAACCCCCTCCCCCGCCCCCATTCCTGTACTCTAGAGGAACTTCCTCCACCGCCCCCATCTGCAGCAAACTTGGACCTCCTGTGAAGGATCCCTGAAGGGGGGCGGGGATAGAAAGAAACTGAAGGGTATAGCCCTGCACCACTGTGTTCAGGACCCAACCGTCTAGGGTTATTGTGGTCCATGCAGGGAGGAAAAGGGAAAGGCGGTTGGAAAAAAACAGGGAAGATGGATCCGGGGAATGATCTGGTAGGTCGCCCTCCAGCGCACCCTCAAAACGGTCGCTTGGCCTTCTTGTGAGGCAGGTCCTGCTGAGGCTGGCTCCTTTGTCCCCGAGGCTGTTGCACTTTGAACTGCTTACGTGCTGGGCCTGGGACGTACCACCCCAGCATTTTCAGGGTGGTACGGGAGTCCTTTAAACCATGCAGGGGCCAAGAAGCAGAGGACATCAAACAAGGAGTCCGAAGGTTCTTCCAACTCCTCAGCCTGGAGCCCCAGGTTAGATGCAACCCTCTTCAATAGTGCCTGGTGTGCCTTAGCGTCATCCTGAGGAACTGGGTGAGGCGGCTCCATGATAGCCTCGTCTGGCGATGACAAGGACAATGCCAGTACCGCAGGAACTTCCACGTTCATTGGTGGTCTAGCAGGCTGCTCCCCCGAGCCCTCCTGGATCTGTGAGGTCCTTCCCCCCCAAAGTCTCGGGCACTGGAGGGGGTCGGGATGCCGAGGCCGCAGGCCTGTCCGAGGCTCCCAACACCAACACCTGGGAAGGCCGGGTGAACCCCCAGGGGTTCCATGACACCGGCCATTGTGCCTAGGGCCATGGGACAGGTTTTGGTGCTGATGATGTAGGTGGCACTGCAGGAGCCGGAGGCTGTCCCGCAGTTAGGGAGCCCTGCTCGGTGCCGGAGCAGTTGCTACCCAGCGACCAGGATCAGGCGGAGCGGTGGCTCTTATCCTGACTGGTGCTGGTCACTGCGCCTGGAGGCAGACCTGTCCGAGCGGGACGAATGCCTTGGCTGGGGCCTCGGGGACCGATGGCCTTCGGTGTATCGGCGTCAGAAACCCGGCGATGTACGCCTTATTCTTCCCAACTGGGATGTCGAGCGGGACCGGGAGCTATCACGCACCAGATGCCGGGAGGAACTCCCCAAACGTGGCGATCCCCGTCTTGGAGATCAACGACGACAGTCTGGTGACCTCAACCCCTGGATATGTACCAAGCTCTTGGCGATGCGAGGGGTTGGTCTCGGTGCTCCTGCCTGGGGGCGCATGCCTCAGTGTGTCTGCACCAGACTACCAGGGAGGTACACCTCGAATCTCGCAGTTTGTGCCCAAGGTCTGGGGATCAAAGAGGGCTCCGTTGAGCCTGCCTATCTGAGGCGTGACGGCTTCAGGCAGGCGAGCGGTGGCAGGATGTTCCACACGAAGGGGAATGGTGCCGCTGAGGAGGGGACATGCGGAGATCCCAAGGTGGGTTTACCTCGAGACCTGGATACTGCCGGAGCTAGTGTGGGCAGCACCGGAAGCATCAGGATCTCCTGAACTGCCTGCAGGGCCTCGACAGCACTTGTAGCTGGCGGAGGCCTGTACCGCTATCTGGAGTTGCAGACAAAGCATGGGATGGGCTGCACCGCTCGGCTTGAGCTGGGGCCTGACTTCCCAAAGGAGGCGTTGAGCTGCCTGGCGTGGGTCTTGGCTCACCCCCAGCTGTCTTTTCCCTTGAGGGAAGTAGGCGATCTTCCTCCTCCCCATCTTCTTCGGCTTCTTGGACGGAGCCGTGGAGGGGGGCCGACGCTGCAGTGCTCGGTGCTGAGTTGGACCGTTGCTTCGGTGCTGGAGTGAGTGCTGACTGCATCAGGAGCACCTTTAAGTGATTGTCCTGCTCCTTTTTCATCCTAGGTTTGAATGACTTACAAAGACGACACTTGCCGCGTATATGCCCTCGCCCAAGCACCGTAAGCAGCTACTATGCGGATCATTGATGGGCATAGGCCATTTGCAACCGGGCTTAAGGCCTGGGGACCGGGGCATGCCCCGTCCGAGTCCCATTCGGGACTAACGAAGAGTTCAAGAACTATTACTAAGAGTAACTAATTCAACTATATACAATTATATTACAGGTTTTCAAAGTTCGCAAGAACAGAGAACGAAACAATGCTAGCCGAAGCAGATGATGTTCCAGCAGGGGCCACTCCAGAGGGTGTCTGAGCCGGTCCCCTATGGATACTGCTGAGGGGAAAACTTCTGACACCGGTGCATGTGGCGAGCACATACACGTAATATGGAATGGAAATGAGCAAGCACTCGAAGAAGAACCCCAAGCTCTAGCTCTCTCTCTCTTTCACCTAAGATGACAAAGGAACCAGCCTCTTGATTTTCGGGGAAGGTCCAACTTGAGAATTTGGTCAGCCTTATTGCTGGGAACATGTAAGGATTTTACCTTGAACCAAATCTAGCTTGTTAAATTTTAGCTACTAGAAAGCATTGTGTCTTTATTTCTCTTGTAACCATTTCTGACATTAATACCTGGTACCTGAATCCACTTAAAATCCTATCTTCTTTTGTTAATAATCTTGTTTTATTTTTTAATCTAACCAATCCAGTGCTGTGTTTAAACTGAACTGTTTGCTAATAGTTCAAGAAGCAGATTGTTGAACGTTAACCCTTTACAGGGACAATGGATCTTTAATACCTGAACTGTCCAGGAGAGATCTGGTCAGTGTAAAACACACGTTGAGAGTGGCCCGCATTGGGAGCTACAACAACACAACCCCTCACTGGTCTGGAGTGCAACCCAAAATGTGACAACCCCAAAGCAGGATCTCTGTATAGTTTAACATGAAGAGGAAATAAAGATTCTTGCTTCCATGCCTTGCTACGTAGTGCTAATGAGAAATTGATACCTGTTTCCTCGCTTGTGGGAAACAGCTGCTGCCCACGAATCCCATCGGGCTCGTTCAAGCTCCTCATACTTGGTGTGATGGTTCAAATAGGTCTCATCAGAAGTGTCTTCCAACTAGGAAAAAGAACAAAGCTAGTTTTCCCTCTAATATTCAAAAGATGACATTCTGTCTTCAGGGTGACACTACTGTTTGGTCAAGTACAAAGTAGCAGAAACCCTGTGATTCTGAACCACAGAACTCAGCAGATAACAATGCCTATTGGACAATACTGGAGAAACCACAGTCTGTTTCGCTCCTTTAAAAAAAAAAAAAAGTTTCCAAAATGGAAGTCAATTCATATAGGATCAAGTTAACAAGGATTTAATCTTTGGTTTGGCTGGTCAAAAATCACAAAATCTGCTGTGTGTGACCTTACCTATTAATTTATATAATTGGATTCTGAATGCTGGAAGATCAGACATCTGTTCATGCTGGTGTCTGTGTCTGTGTCTGTGAAGTTTCTTTCATGTAACTACAGAACGGTTTTCTTCACAGTTTGTTCTCTGTAGAACACAGCAACCCACTAGAACAACTCAACATGAATTCTCTTACTGAATAAACCCTCTGTGATGGGAGTTGAGACTTTCCAACAGTGAGCAATCTCATACAATCACATCATCTGTGGTTGCTCAGGTTGGTGAGATCTTCCCTTAACTGGGGAATTGGAACCACTGTTTAGAATCACTAACCCAGTCATACTTTTCATGAGCCGCTGAATTTGAAGTTTATGAATCAGACTATTGTTTGGATTCTCTGAGACAGACAAAGCCTCTATTATATAGATCATGTGAACGGATGCCAAGAACATTAAAGCACCACTCAAGGGTTTGCTGTGGCTGCTGCTTATAGAGAGGGATGACCCAAGAAATGCTTTTTCATAACAGCTGATGCAGATGTCAGGGAGCCAATTGCAGCATAGTCAATCTCCTACCAACAGAATGAGCATAGCTGATCCTGGCAGGGGCTGTCCGATTGCACTTCCTGATTGGTGGAGGGGCAGGGCTAAGTTACTACTTGACCCAGCAGCAGATTACCTGTTCTGTTCATTCCCTCTGGGGCACCTGGCATGGGCCACTGTCGGAAGACAGGATACTGGGCTAGATGGACCTTTGTTCTGACCCAGTATGGCTGTTCTTATGTTCTAGTTATGCCATTTGAGCTAAATAATGTCTCTACGTTGAAGCATTTCGTAAATGACTATTTTCAGGACATGCTGGAACAATTTGTTGTTTATTTAGATGATATTCTTGTCTTCTCCAAAAACCAGAAACTACATGAGCAACATGTCCGCAATATCCTTGACGGACTCCACCAGAACAAACTTTACATCAAACCTGAGAAATGCAAATTTTATAAGGACACTATTGAGTTCATTGGCTTTATCATCTTCCCCAAGTACAGTCTGCTTCCAGTAAGCTAAAGAAAGTCTTCCCTTCAGCTCTCATTCTTGTGTATCCAAAACTTTTTACCATGGAAGCAGATGCCTCAAACGTTGCAATCAGGGCCGTACTTTCACAAAATGCAGGCCCGTATCACCAACTCCATCCATGTGTGTATTATTCACGTAAACTAACCCCCGCTGAGAAGAACTATGATAACTGGGACTAGAATGGCGACACTTTTTGGAGGGGCTCAGTTCCTGATCCAGGTCATCACCAATCACAAGAACTTAGAATATCTTTGAATGGCTTAATCATCAGATCCGTGGTCACTTTTCTTTGCCAGATTTGATTTCAATATTACCTACTGCCCTGCATCACAGAAAGCGAAAGCAGACGGCCTTTCCCACAAGGACAAATATGCTGTGCTGAACACCACTCCCCAAAACACTGTGCTATGACCATCTAATTCTGTTGGTGGAACAACAGCCCAGGATTTACCATCTCTTATTCGGGCTCTACTCCCAAAAGACCTGCAAGCAGCCAAACTCTGTGAGACCCTTGATACCTCCAATGCACCATTCAGCTTAGGCTTCCATTTGCACAATTGTCCACTATATCTTAGCAAGCACTTTTACATTCTAGATGATCAGCCCAGACAAAGTGTTAAGAATGTGCCCTGATACTGTAGGTGCTGGCCATTTTGGACACCATAAGACTCAGGACTTGGAGGTACGAAGTTTCTAGTGGCCAAAGGTGAGTATTGATGTGAAGAAATACATTGACTTTTCTGATCTAAGCTTTCAAAGCAAGGGCCAACGTGTTAAGATGCCTGGATTACTCCAGCTTCTGCCACCCCACCTCAGTGCTGGTCCATGGTTGCAAAGAACTTGTAGAGTCAACCCGACTCCAGCTGCCTAAAACCATGAAAGTCTGTCCAGTTTTTCACATATCCTTCCTGAAGCCCTACACAACAAAATCCCGCTCTGCTTCATGGCCCACTCCCATGGAGGTTCAGGATCAAGACGAATATGAAGGGCAAGAAATCCTGGATTCTAAATGAATCCGAGGTCTATTTTACAACCTGGAGGACTAGGAGGGTTATGGTCCAGAAGAGTGTTCTTGGGAATCAGGACGGACTGTCTATGCTCTGGAGCTCATACACGCTTTTCACCAGAACCTAGAAAAACTGGGTCATAAGGGCCCTAGAAGGCACCCTTGAGGGTTGGGGGCATTTGCTGTCAAGGGAGCCAGCTGCAAAAGGGTCAGTCTCCTAGTAACACACTGGGCATAGCTGATCCTGGCAGGGGCTACCTAATTGACTGTACTTCCTGATTGGTGAAGGGGTAGGGCTAAGCTACTACCTGACCCAGAAAAAGCCAGAACTCATGGGCTGCTCAATGCATCCCACTCAACAGCTGCACTTGATCCTGCTTCCTGTATGATGTACCTGCTGCTACTCCTAATCTGCTTTTGTGCCTGCTCCAGTTTCTGCTTCCTGTACCTGTTTCTGCTCCCATTCATCCCATACCTGCTCCTGCTCAGCCTGCTCTTGTACTTGCTCCAGGTTCCTACCCTACTCTGTCCCTGACATCCCTGGCTCTGACCCCTGGCTTCAGTTCCCAACTACATCTCTGGCTCACCCATTGTTTCTGGCCTCAACTATGCACCTGGGTGTCCTGGGGTCCTGATTCGTGGCTCAGCTCTAACCTCCAGGCCTGGCCACCCCCATGGCTTGGACCAGTAGGCATGACTGCCCACGTCCCGGATGTGTTCCTGACAGAGGCACGCTTTGATCCTCATGCATGTACTGGCAATTCAATGATTAAGCTGTGTGCTGTGGCTGGACAACATTTACTACAGACTTTGCTTAATAAAGCCTGCAGGCTTAGCAGTTTACACTCAATCTTTACTTCTTCTAAGAATACAAAATGCCAATCAGACTTTTTCAGGATGGCTGTTGCTTCTAAAGACATTTATCATTTGTCAGTAGTGCTTGAGACCAGAAACAGTGTGACAAAGTAGATTTTGTCTCACCTCAAAGTCCATATGATCCAATGGCTCCACATCTTTGGGCTCTACCACTCTCCAGCTGCAGGAAAGAACACTCAATGTCAGAACAATTCTGCACTCACTGCCATGTCACCCTCTTGGCTAAGACCCAGAGCCAAGACCTGGCTTCATAGTTACTTCCCCATAGCTACTGGACACTAGCCCAAAGGTGATTAGCTTTACTGACAAAGCTTCCTAGTACAGACATACACACATACAAGCACACCACTTATCTTGCAGAGCTCCTAGAAGCCACAGATTTAGATTTATCATGTATGCACCAGCCAGCGATATGACAACAGAAGCCTGATAAATTCAATCTCATTGGACTCTGTTTTGACAGGCTTTGAGGGAAGGCAAAAATGGTAGGGCTCATGAAAGTGAACAATGAACAACTGTGGAACTAATGACCATCTCATCAACCATGACCAATCAATCACTTTATCTCCCTTTTACATAAAAGACTTGTCTGTATTTTGTCTACTTAGATTGCAAGGGGGCAGAGATCTCTCACTACAAGTTGGAGGTACACAGAACACTGGATGCTGAATAAATAATAGTAATCAGAACCAAGAAATAGGATGTGCAGAAATTCCATGCAGTACTGCACAGCTCTTCCAACGGTCCTCACTCCTATAGCAGTATCTCTGCTATTTCAATCTTTCTGAAACTAGTAATTATACCCTTGAAGCACTCCTACAATTCAAAGCTCTTTGCCTGGTCTGCTAATATCCCTACAACGACATGTGCCAACAACTGAACAAGAGACTAATTTCCCTTGCTAATCTTTTTCCATGTCTGGGAATTTTTCAGCCATCAGCCGGGAAGCATTGACCCAGCGCAAACACTACTGCCACATGCTAGTTGGCCAGTGAGCGATGCTGCCATGAAATTCCCTTTGAAGTGGCAAACTGCATCCTTTTTGATTAAAAAACAAAAAACAAACAACCAATAAAGATATACTGTCTTAATTTAAGTTGTTGTTTCTTGACGAAAGAGAGAGCTTTAGTAAAAGAGAAATAGCTTTCCCTTTTCACAGCCAAAATAACACCACCCTACACAGAACACAAAGGGAATTATTAATACTTTCCCATCTGCAGATACCTTGGTGTTAGAATCTCTTTGTACTGCAGCTTCTCCACTCGAGTGGCTGCTGCCATCGACATTGGGATCACAATGTTATTGATGTCGTAGGAACATTCCACTTTTCTTTTCTTCGAGGATACCTGAAACCGCACGCAGAGTGGAAAGGGAAAAAAACCCAGACAGAGCATTAGTGTCAACACAAAAGAACGTTTAAATCATACCATGGAAAAAGCAACTTCCCCAGAACAAGAGGTACATGTTATCTAGTGTTCAGAGTAATGGTGTAAGCAGGATTCCTGAGTTTTTTCTCCAGTTTTTCCACCAACCTGCTGTGATTTACTGGTCACATCAAGCAAACCCTATGGCTCAATTTATTCTTCTCTAAAGTGGGCACATTTACCTATCTTAGTTGATGTTGCCAATCCTAATATTTGTAAAGTGTTTTAAGATCATATAGCATAACAAAGTATTATTACTCAATTATTCTCAGCAAGTCTCCTCCCCCCCACTGGAATTTGAGCTTGAGCCCTGAGAAACGAAGATTTCCCTCTACTTGTAAAACAGGGTTTTGGAAGTCTCCATACTCAGAGTGGAACAAACGGCCTCTCAGTTCTAGGTGAAGAGCTCAAACCCAGACTGCGGGTATAGCTACGGTGCAAAAAAACCCCAACAGCCTCAAGTCTCAGAGCCCGGGTCAACTGAGTCGGACTTGTGGGGGCTCATGCTACACGGCTAAATGTAGTAGTGTAGATGTTCCCAACTGGGCTGGTGCTCAGACTCGAAGCTCTCCCCTTTCACTAGGTTTCAAAGTCTGAGCTCCAGCCTGAGTGGGAACATCTACACTGCTATTTTTAGCCCTGAAGTGCAAGCCCGAGTCAGTTGATTTGAACTCTAAGACTTACTACTGCAGGGGTGGTTTTTTGTTTTTGCAATGTAGGCACACTAAGTCAGTAGCAGCCAAAAGTTAGGTGCTCGGGATGTCACAGTGATGAGCACAGTGTAAAAAACTTGAAACACAGATGGGAAGACTTGTCCATAACATCCTTTAGAATTTGGTCCAGGAAGCTTCTGAGATTGTTTCACTCCAGAGCAGGCAAGGCTAACAGCCCCAACTTCCAACTCTACCCCTAGACAACTGCAGCGGGGCATTCCCAATGGAGTCACCTATAGAAGGTGGTGCCAGAAAGATGGTCAGCTTCTGGTAATGGGACTCCAAGCAAGTGAGCTGACAATGTCAGTAGACTCTGTGAGGGAGTCCTCAAATAATCGTCTACAAATATTTTGGATATAGCAGTGAAACATGAGATGGATCTGGAGCAGACAACGCAGGGTGGAGATGGGCCAGCCCTGCTGAAGCTATCTGGGCAACACGAAAGCAGTTCAGCTTTGGGATTGCTCCATCTGCTTCTATCAGTCAAGCCTGAAACAGCTCCCCATTGGTCAAAAATAGAGTGTGTGGGGGGGGGAGGGGGAGAGAGCAATACATGTAATAATTGCTACTTCAAAGTCTCCCTCCAACCCAGCAGTCTCCCCATATCCACAGAGGCCTGGATAGGAGCCAGCCAATGCTTATCCTATATGGGCTTATACAAATGACTACTGTGAGATGTAGCATTCCCCCCTCCCTGCCTCTCCAAAACAGTAAGCAAATACTAAAAACAATTTCCTGTTGATATTTTTGCTTTGTTCAGAGAAGTCCAGAACAATTCCCTTCTCTCCCACTTAATTTGTAATTAAAACAAAGTTGAGTCACAGAGCTCACACAAGGATTTGTTTATGCACAGGACTTGCAGAATCATAGAAATGTAGGGCTGGAAGGGACCTCAAAAAGTCATCAAGTCCAGTCCGCTGCACTGTGGCAGGAACAACTAAACCTAGACCATCTCTGACTGGTGTTCGGTCAACCTTTTATTAAAAACCTTCAATTGTGGGGATTCCACAATGTCCCTTAGAAGCCTATTCCAAACCCTTATAGTTAGAAAGTTTCTCCTCCTATCTAACCTAAATCTCCCTTGTTGCAGATTACACCCATGACTTCTTGTCGTACTTTTAGTGGGTATGGAGAACAATTGATCCAAGTCCTCTTTATAGCAGCTTTTAATATATTTCAGGACTGTTACCAGGTCCCGCCTTAGTTTTCTTTCCTCAAGACTAAACGTGCCCAGATTTTTTAACCTTTCCTCATAGGTCAGGTTTTCTAAACCTTTTATCATTTTTTGTTGCTCTCCTCTGGTCTCTCTCCAATTTGTCCATATATTTCCTAAAGTGTGGTGCCCAGAATTGGACACAGTACTCCAGCTGAGGCCTCACCAGTGCTGAATAAAGCAGGACAATTACCTCCTGTATCTTACATACAAGACTCCTGTTAATACACCCCAGAATCATATTTGCTTTTTTTCCCACAGCTGCAGCATCACATTGTTGACTCACATTCAATTTTTGATCCACTATAATGCCCAGATACTTTTCAGCAGTACCACCACCTACCTAGCCAGTTATTCCCCATGTTGTAGTTGTGCATTCAGTTTTTCCTTCCTAAGTGAAGTACTTTGCACTTGTCTTTATTGATGGTGTATGCTTAGTAACAAATTTATAGACCACATATGCTGGCCCTGGTGGTAGCAGAGCAGGCACCCTGGCCACTTTGGGTCCTGGCTAAGACAACTGAAGCAAGTAGTTGCTACTGTCTGTTTAATATCAAGATCTTTTTAATAAAGGCATTTCCAGACTGTCCCTGCAGCCTACTGGCAGGGAAGGACTCCCCTCCCATAGCTTTGGCATAGGGTGTCCACTATGAGTCTAGCATCTGTTGGCAATGTCCAGCAATACAGATGTTCCCCAGCTGCATTAAAAACTGCTCCCTTTTTTAGGTTTGTTTGACACAGATTATGTTCTGACTCACCGTTGTTGAATTAGCAGTGGAAGGGGACTGGCTGGAAGATGGGGCTGGAGGAGTTTCTAGATACAAAGATGGTAGGTGGTGCATCAAAGGACTATGTTTATGTGTCTGAGAACCAGAAACGAGCAAGCTGTGATTGTCTGTTCCTTTAAGCTGCCTCTCCACCTTAAACAATGAACCTGTTAATAAAGCACATGAACGGAGAACCCAAGTAAAGCCAGAGTAATTTGTTCATAAGTCATTGCTGCTCCTATCTGTCAGTCCACCAGAACCCAGCTGGGGAATGCAGTCTGTATTGTGGAAGGAATGCTAAAATCAAAGAAATGGGGAAAAATCTACAAGTCAGAAATCCAAGTGAAACCATCAGCACTGCATAGAATTGAACATATCACCTGTGAAATTCATCTTTGCTGGGTGTTTGCAATGAATATAACTATCAAAAACAGTAGACTCCCCTCCAGTATGTCCAAAAAGTGGCCACCAAGAATTTTCCTCATATGTTGAACTGATCACATTAGCCCCATCTTTGAATTACTCCCTTTTGTGTATCACATTAATTTAAAAAACACTATCGACCACTACAATTAAGCCCCATAACACTACTCTGAGGAGGGGAAGTGATATATAAAGATCTTTTCACCCACCACTAAAATGCAGCAGCTGATCAAATTATCTCAACCACAGTACACAGTTTTAGGACAGGAAGTGAAGAATGCCACCATAGTCAACTGAAACGGCACAGAAAGGCTGATGTGTCCTCTCAAACATGAATCAAAGGAAGTGAATTATTATCAGAGAAAACACTGAATATGCACTGCTGGCAGCAGTAGCATTTGCTACATAAGAGAAAGGCTCTCTTTGACACCACTGGAGAGAAGCCAAGATTAATCCCTGAGCAGAAGGGACCTAAAACAGAATACTACAGCAGCTATTCTAAAGCTCATAGTAAAGCCATGGAAACTGACACAGGATGCAAGACTGATGGAGTTTATATTTAAGTGTAATAGTTTGCCTTCTTTAATAGGTTCCTTACACCTGGAAAGGAGAGTTATTTCAGTGCTAACAGCCTGACCATTCTCTACTCAATGCCTCTTGAACCAACTATTGGATGGATGACATCTACAGTCTTTGCAAGTAACCTCCTCTCTCAAAGAGAAACAAACAGACTGAAAACAATGGGTTGGGTAATTAACTATTGTTAAGCCAATGTGTATAGTGCTTTCCTTTTCATACAGCTGAAGGCACAAAGCTGAATGCACATGGGATGTGCACCAAATGCCAACCACCACACTGCCTGGATCTATATTTTCAGCATAAAGTTCTTTTCTTTAAATGTTCTCTGGTTTGTTCATGATAATTCGGATCAACAACTGCAAAACAAATAAGTACGTCAGAGTCAGCAGCTGTGGGCTCCATTATAAGAACTCCATGGACATGTCTGCCTTGCAGGCTGCACACTACGCTTGTTATTTTCTGCAAGTACGGGGTATAAGAAAATATATTCTTTAAAAAAAAAAAAAAAAATCAGAACACCCACCGTGGTACATTAAACAAGACAGGATGCTATAACTGGAGTTTAATTCTTTCTAACATGGAATTAGTTTTTAGTCTTGGGTGTTTCTGTCAGCTTTCCTAAGAGCTTAACTTCTATGGATAGTTTTAATATCATGCACTTTAATGGGCTAAAATAAACAGGAACCTAGAAAAACAGAAAAGAGTACAAGAGAAGACAGTGAAGAGCAACAGTGGCAGCTCTGAACACAACTGAAACAGAAATATTTGGCAGGAATTTGCCAGGCACTCTTGGCAGGTGGATACACACGTGCTTTGCTTTAACACACACAAGGATCAAAATATTTCTCTTCTTTGACTTGCTTGTTAGTTCATTCCCAATCATGCTGTCTGGGTTTCTGCAGTAGCCATTTATTTGGTCATCTAACCAAAAGCAGGCTTTCCATTGAGGTGGTGAGAACTTCTGCAATTTGCAAGATGCCAAAGCCAATCACCACCTTACATTTATGTACTGATTTTATTGCTACTTTCTATAGAAATGACAGGAACTGTAGGCTACAATGTAGGGTTGCACTTTGGTCACCTGTTAAAACCTACATGTAAGTTTACACCCCATCTCAGCTGAACTTACTGGATGCAGAGAGAGGTGATAGGCCTAGCTTTGGGAAAACGTTGGTTAGATCTTGTGGCTTCTTTCCAAAATGGGACATCTTCAGAGCCTTGAGCTTATGGCTCAATCTATGCTGCCTGTCATCTCTTAGTAAGGTTTCAAAGTGCAAGTGAAGAGGCTTGTCTGAAAATAAAAACAACAGGTTATTCTAATATACACGAATCCTCTCTCCCCACATACAAACACCAGTGTTGTACAGACATAATTTGTAATTAGCACCTGCCAGTACTGTTAAATTCTATACATAGGAAAGTCACACATGTAGCTAAGCAGTTACAAATCATGCCCCTTTTTAATCTTACGCCCTTTGTCACGGATGATGCGATACAGAAAGTTCAGCATGAGTGGCCCCAAAATAAAAGCCTTCCTTCAACAAAGCAGCTGGTCAGGACAATCATGGAATTTGGCATCTTGCCTCAGTGCATTACCTCTCCCACTCTCACACTATGCTGGCCTAAGCCATTTCCAACTACACTATCATTCTTGACACTGGCCTGTCATTGCCTGAAAAGCTTTAGCAAAAGCTTCTCATATTTCATCTCCTATTGTCTCTCTGTTCTTACTGTAAAAAGCAAGTATGACGAGGTACAACAGAAATTAACATCAAACACGTCTGAAATAGATGCTTTCACCCTTGCACATTGGGGAAAGTGTACCCTTCCAGTTGCTTACCCTGCCTTTAAGCCCTGTGACAAATATCTTGTCCTTGCAGTTGCCAAAACCTCTTGCAAAGAAAGAACAATTACTTACTCTACAGTAACTGTGGTTCTTCGAGATGTCCACCAGAAGTGGAATACATGTGGATAACACGTGTGCCTCATATGAGATAGATTCTTTTGGAGTTTGCTGGGGCCACACCTGTGCCCTAGATACCCTCTCACTCTCCACAGCCAAGGGCATAAAGGAATGAGAGCGGTCACAATCACCCTTCAGTTGCTTTCTAAATCAGAATCTAGGTGGTACAAGACTCCACAGTAGTGGTGAAGAAGGGCAGGGAAGGTTGTGGAATACGTGTGAACAATGCATCTCGGAGAACCGCAGTTATTGTTAACTAAGTAACCATTCTTTTGTGATTGTCCATGTGTATTCATCTGGTAACACACAAGTCGTGATCGTCTGTCCAGGAGGTGGGTGCTCAGAGTCTGCTAAAGTGGGTGTCTGATCTGGAGCTCTCCAACAAGCAGTGCTGGAGTTCAGTGCACACCTTCACCCAGCTGGGTGGGCTACAAATCTGAGATTGGAATGCCCCTTAGAAGAGAAATTGCAGAGGATGCTTGAGCTCTGGTGGAATGGGTCATAATCTGTGAAAGTGGGTTCAAGCGAGCTATTGCGCAGGATGCCCTGATATAGTCAGAAAGCCACAAAGATAATCTTTCAATCATGCTGATGCTTCATCCTGTCAGAAAAGGCCAGGAACAATCTCTGAGAACTCCTGAATGATCTTGTCCTAGTTACAGTAGAAAAGAATTCTGAGCACATATAAGGAAGGCTACGATTTTGTCACGGATGTCGTGGAAGTCATGGAATCTGTGACTTCCAAAGTCATCTGTGACTTCAGCCCCAGTGGCTGGGTCCCGCCACCTCCTGCAGCAGCAGGGAGCTGAGAGATACCCCCGTTGCCTGAAGCAGCTGGCCCCCAAACTCCCTGCCGCCGCGGGCATCAGGGGTACCCCACAGCTCCCTGCCGCCGCAGGCAGGGGGGGCCCCCTGCAGCCCCCGGCCACCACAGGGAGGCAGGGGGACCCCCCAACAGCTCCCCTCCATCGTGGGGGGGCTGGGGGACCCTGGAGCTCTGAGCCCCCAGTGGTGGTGTGGGCCCCAGAGCTCCCAGCCACAGCTGTCCAGTCCCTTCCCATTTTATCATGGATATTTTTAGTAGAAGTCAGGGACAGGTCACGGGCTTCCGTGAGTTTTTCTTTATTGCCTGTGACCCGTCCGTGACTCTTACTAAAAATATCCATGACAAAATCTTAGCCTTACATATAAGGTGTGAAGTTTGGCTTCCCCTTGACTATTACAAGGCTTGGAAAAAATTGGCAGGTGGATCACTTAATTCAGGTGAAGGACCGAGACAGCCTTGGACAGAAACTTTGGATGTCACCTTGTCCTTATCGCATAATGTATATGCCATGGCGGCCTGGATTTCCCTTATTCTCTAGGCTGCGATTCTAACCATCAAGGTGGTTTTCATAGACAAGTGATATAAAGAAAAGGTTGCTAGATGTTCAAAGGGGGGACCCCCATTAACCATGCTCCATGTAAAGCTAGTCGAGATCAGTGTAAATTTGGCAAACCATTCTATAGGTCCAGGAGGTCACATGTCTTAAGAGCATGAGATATGCTGACTGATGTTGCCAGGTAAGCCTAGCATTGATTGAGGTTCAGCATGGGGAGGAATCTGTCCTGTGGCAAGTAGGATTTTACCACTGATGGGGCATTATTTGACTCCATGAACTATGTTTTGAGTGAGGTAGGAATGGATTTCTCCCTTTTGACTCGAGACCTAAGGGGGCAAAGAGTTGCAGTGTTACTTGAATGGAACTGCTCACTTGTTGAGGAGATCATCTTCTGGTAACCAGGTGTCAAGGTCTCTGTAGATTTGCACTCCTTGTATCCTTAGATAGGCTGCCATAACTGTGAGGCACTTGGTCAATACTCTGGGAGCTGCGGAGAGGCCAAAGGAAAGCACCCTGTATTGATAATGCAACTTTCCCACAAAGAACGTGAGGTATTTCCTGAGGATCCGGTTGAATAGCTGTATGGAAATAGATATCCTGTAAACAGAGCCAAAAGCCAGTCCTGAGGATCTAGGGTAGGAACTAAGGAAACTAGGGTTAACATCCTGAACTTGATGTGACAGATAAATGTATTGAGTTGTTGGAGATCTAGGATTGAGCACCAACCTCCATTCTTCACTGGGATTAGGAAACAAAGTGAATAAATCTCTGCCCTGGAATTCTACAGGCTCTCCTTCCATTGCTCAGAGCTATAGAAAATTTTATTCCGTTTAACAGTATCTCATGAGGGGGTCCCTGAAGAGGGACAGGGAAATGGGGCAGGGAGAGACTGAAACTGTATAGCATACCCCATGTCCACAATTTCTAGGATCTACTGGTTTCTAGGTTCCAGGCCTCCCAAAAGCAAAACAAATGGTTCCCAATAGGGTGGGGGACGGATGGGACAAATGGAATACAAATCCTGTGGTTCTATGTGGCTCTGTAATTGAGTTTACAAAGCCCGTACTAAACATAGACAGAGGGGAGAGGAGAGTCTTCCATGCTTACAGGCAACCAGGCTGACCACACCCCAGCACAGCTGCTGGACCTGCCAATCATGGAGGCATACCCACAGCTGAGACCAATAAGGAAAACAAGCCTAGGTATAAAGGAAGGAACAGCGAGAGATGGGGAGGCAGAAAGGCCTGGGACAGCTGGCAGGAGGTTGATGCAGAGTGTATGGCAGGGGAGTAAGGAGCAGAGCATCTCCATCTCTGGATCTTCTGTCTTTTCCTTGGGGGCTTTGTTTATCTCAGCTGGCGTGGGGAGTTTAGACATCTGTTCTTGGTGCTTCGGTGCCAAAACATCGGTATAGTGAGTGGCATGAGCAGGCTCTTCAAGCTGTACCAAGTTTGTTCAGTGACCTGTCTGGGCCAAGCTGTCAGCAGGACCCAATCCAGACCTTGAACTGCCTCCTGGTTTGGGTCAGCAAGGGAAATCTGTGTCTCCAATCACTCAGAGCAGTGCTCCTTGCTCCCTCTTTCCTCAGAAAATTGTGTTGAGGAGGGTTTGGAGGCTCTCACAGACTCTGTAGTCAACAAGTAGAACTTTCTCGAAGCTCTGGGTGGGCCCATGGGTTACTGGCCTGGTCATTTTCTTCACCTCAGGTTTGGAGTATGCCTTCATGGACATCTTCAGGAGAAACACTTTTAGGTGGGATTCCCTTGCTTTTGGTGTCCTCTTTGAAAAAGAGCAACATGTGGTGCATTTTTCTGGAATATGCACTTCAGTGAGGTGGAAGTCTTTTTCAGTGTCTGTCACCATATGGATAGCCGCCTTACAGATGGACAGGTTTTAAATCCTGGAAATTTGATTCTGCCATGTCCAGGGCACCCAGTGTTGGGAGCACCCCCAAAGTTAAAGACCTTCTTTTTTTTTCTTTTTGGCCAGAGGGCTTAAACTATGTTACTTTAACTATATTAAGGAACACTAAACTAAAAACTAGAGCAGCGGTTCTAAAACTGTGGGTCGGGACCCCAAAGTGGGTCATGACCCCAGGGCTGGCTTAGACTTGCTGGTGCCCAGGGCTGAAGCCCTTTGGCTTCAGCTTTGACCTCCCCGCCCCCGCCTGGAGCGGAGGAGCTTCAGCTTCCCCTCCCCACCCTGGGGCAGTGGGGCTCAGGCAAGCTCAGGCTTCTGTCCCCCTTCCTGGGGTCATGTAGTCATTTTTGTTGTCAGAAGGGGGTCGCGGTGCAATGAAGTTTGCGAACCCCTGAACTAGAGCAAAAGAATCACACAGTGCCCAGAGATGCAGACACTGCCAGGGATTCTGTCTCTGCCTCAGATGGAACTGAAGGATCGTTGTGGCTGCCCTAACCTTTATGCCCTCGGCTACCAGGAGCAACAGAGCATTCAGGACACAGGGGCAGCCCAAACACACACAGAATCCAGTCTCAGGCACAAGGGCACCAGAACAGAATATATGTGGACAATCACTTGAAGAATAATTCTACCTAAATTTCCTTCAAAACAGAGTGTCTTGTTTTCCCTTCCGGGCTGTAAGAGTCCCCTCTTCCCAGTTTTTCCTTCACAGGCATCAGTCCTTATATAACCACTTGTGTGGTGAAACCTACTCAAGTCTCCCTTCCAAGAGCCCAGTCCTGACCTAACTTTGAATACACCCAGTTTCCAGATGTCCACTGTCCCAAAAGTTAAATTTTAACAATAGTAAATATACTAGAGAAAGTCTAATAGGGTACGTGAAATCAAACAATTCCTGAATCGCCAACAGAATTTAGCTGACTGTCACTGGCTGGCACCAAACCAATCACATACCAAATAATGAGAATTCAGAGGTGAGGCCTCATCTATGATAACCCTCAGGGGGAATCTTTTCATCAACACTGGAAAAATAGATTTTCTCTTCAAATACATTTTGGGGAGAGTGCTGCCTAAAAACCAGCATTGAAATGAGTTTTAGGGCTAGTCTACACTGGCAGCGCTTTAACATGGCTTGTGTAGTCACGGCAGAGCGCTGGGAGAGAGCTATCCCAGCGCTCTAAAAAACCCACCTCCACGAGAGGCATAGCTACCAGAGGTGGGAGCACGGCTCCCAGAGCTGGTGCACTGTTTACACTGGCGCTTTACAGCGCTGAAACTTGCTGCGCTCAGGGGGGTGTTTTTTCACACCCTTGAGCAAGAAAGTTGCGGTGCTGTAAATTGCCAATGTAGACAAGCCCTTAGTCATTTTTTAGTAGGTTTCCTGTTGTTAATAATCCCTCCTACCATTTGTTTCCTTCCACATTGTTCTCTTTTGTGCATGTATGCTAATTAGTTTAGTGTTACTCTAAAGGGGGTGAGACTGTCCCCTGCTGGTTTGCTGTTGCAGCCAATGGAGAAAGGGGCTCTTTATGAGGGTTAGACTTTTAGAACTTACTTATTTTTTAAATACAAAAATAGCAGCAGACTTTACTAACAAACACAAGAAAAAAAGATTAGGTTAAGATTTGGTCTGGCTTTCCAAGTTCCCCTTTTAAAGATCCTATTCCTTCCCTGGAAAGAATCTGGGAGTTTTTCCATGGAAAATGAAGCAGTAACAAAAAGATTTTTCTTTCCAGGAGGGACACTCAAGAGAGGGCGGCAGTGGCACTGTCAAGAGCTCATCTATTTAAACATTAGACAGAGTAAAAATAGCAGTACCCTTCTATTCAGAGCATGGGACCTGTAGTCTCCATGGGCTGTATCTCTGTATTAAAAATAAGGGGAATTAGGGTCACACTGCAGAACTTTGTGGGTAGCCTCCGATGATTCCTTGCATATATACTACCCTAAAATTCAGTTTAGTGTATTTTAAACGTTCTTGCCTGTAAGTGGAAGGAGGAGCAGGACACCTGCAGAATAAGGTCCTTTATTTTATACTAAGAACATGTAATCTACTCACCAGGAGAGAACGACAGTATGGGATGGAAGCCAGAATCCAGCAGTGCTATACGCTCTTCTAAGGACATAGTGTCTGGGTCTATGGCCTGAATAGAGGTTTTACAACCACAGAGGATACAAGTGCTGGGCCATTCACAGCTACACTTCATGGTGAGAGGTTTCTGCGGCTAGTAGAAGGGAAAATAAAAAAATCAGCCATCTAAAAAGGGAAAAATCACCAGTGTTTTCTTAAATTTAAGAAGGGATGCTGATGTTCAGATCCAGTGTTTCCAGGGTCTGATTTCTACAAACTATGTTTCATGCCCTAACCAAAAAAAAAACAACCAACCCAACACTTTCAAAAAGGAAATATTTAGATCAGTTTTGAAAGATAGACATAACAATGGTCTTGTGAAATGGATCATCTCCAGTGAACCAACAAAAGAGTAAACCAAACACAGACACACAGGTCCCAGTGCCCACTCAGCAGCAGTAACAGCATGTATGCAGGGCACAGCAAGGAATACAATCACCTCTTTGCTCCGGGATTCCACCTCTAATCCTTTGAAAAAATCATTTTCGCTAGTACAAGACTGGAATTCTCCTTGTGGCTGAACATAAAATTGAATTACTATGGTATCTGGTAATTATACTTAGGCCTATAATACTAACATATGGTGCTACTTTAAAGGGACAATTCAAAGTTAAAACTTCTTTGACATTTCCAAGTGAGTATAGCTTGTTTCTTGTATCATAGAATTTTCTTCCATTGACAGTATTTGATGTACTTGATGCCTCTTCCTCTGATAATATGTTGTGCTCTGCAAGCTCAGTCAATCAAAAGAGGGAGCATTAACAACTTTTTGCCCATAGCTGCCTTTCTTATTGCGCTGGTAACCAAGATTGAGCCACGTTGGCTTTGTGCTAACAAATGCCAAGGACAAAGACTAGAAGGAAAATAAATTTAATTTTCATGCTTCAAGATTATTCCAAGAAACAGAAATTAACAAGTTACATACAGAGAAAGAGGCAATAAGACCATCAAATCAGTCTCATCAATGTGAGAAAACTAGATATTTTCAAGAAATATCTTATACTGAGCTGGAAACATCAAAATAAAGAATAAGATGTTTGTAATGTAAACACTCTAAGCTAAAGGTAAGTGGTGGGAAATAGAAATTACGTTAGTGCAGAAACTAAAACCATAGTTAGGCTGTCACCGCTCGCAAAGGCGTGGTCTGAGCACATGACTGGGATTCAGGTACTCTGGCTCTAATCCCAGCTCTTGACAGTTTCCCTGTGACCTTGGGCAAATCAATTTCTATGCCTTGGTTTCTCCATTTGTAAAATCATAGAATCATAGTAGATTGGGGTTGGAAGAGACCTCAAGAGGTCATCTAGTCCAACCCCCTGCTCAAAGCAGGACCAACACCAACTAAATCAACAAAATGAGAATATCTGCTCTCAGAGGTATGTTTATAATGCAGTTGGAGATCCTGGGAGTGAAAGGGGTACTCCATTGTGTTTATACTTAATAAAAAAAAATGCAGGATAGATTGTATTTTAGCAGACATGTGGCTAAACTCACTGAAAGTTTGCACCTACCTTCTTGCTAAGGAGAGAGACAGTGTTAGCTCGGACCAGCTTGCGTTTCTTGTATCTGCAAATGGGGCGGATTCTAGCTGCAACACAGCTGTTGTCTGGTACAGAGGGTACAGTAGCCAGGCTATCCAGTCGTTTCTGTTTGAGAATTTCTTCAGCTTCCAAACTGGCCAGAGAAATGTTGTTGGAGCGGCTTGTGTGCAAACTGCAACCAAATAAATAAATAAATAAGACAGTGAGCCTCACTCAGAACAAGAGAGGCAAAAGCTAATACTGCACTGTGATGGCTGTGCTGACCGATCACCTCCAGGTATTTTCTTAGGCAGCTAATGATTTTTATTAGTTTGGGTTTTTACTACAGCTGTGCTCCTTGTTAACTTAGGTTCTAATAATTCTTTAGGGGGGAAAACATGCTCATCTGCTTATACATCTAGTTGGAAATAAATACTGAAGGTCATAAAATCATAGAAATGTAGGGCTGGAAGGGACCGCGAGAAATCATCAAGTCCAGCCCCCTGTGCTGTGACAGGACCAAGTAAATCTAGACCATCCCTGACAAGCCTATGTCCAACTTGTTTTTAAATGCTTCCAGTGATGGGGACTCCATGACCTCCCATGGAAGCCTATTCCAGAGCTTAACTACCTTTATAGTTAGGAAGTTTTTCCTGATAGCTAACCTAAATCTACCTTGCTGCAGATTAAGCCCATTACTTCTTGTCCTACCTGCAGTGGACATGGAGAACAACTGATCACCGTCCACTTTGTAAAAGTCCTTAGTATATTGGAAGACTTATCAGGTTGCCCCTCAGTCTTCTTTTCTCAAAACTAAACATGCCCAGTTTTTCCAACCCTTCCTCACAGGTCAGGTTTTCTAAACCTTTTATCATTTTTGTTGCTCTGCACTCTTTCCAATTTGTCCACACCCTTTGTAACCGTAGTGCCCAAAATTGGACACAATACTCCAGCTGGGGTCTCACCAGTGCCAAGTGTAGCAGAACAATTAGAATCATAGAACTGGAAGGGACCTCAAGAGGTCATCTAGTCCAGTCCTCTGCACTCAAGGCAGGATTAAATATTATCTAGACCATCCCTGACAGGTGTTTGTCCAACCTGCTCTTAAAAATCCCCAATGATGGAGATTCCACAACCTCCCTGGGCAATTTATTCCAGTGCTTAACCACCCTGACAGCTAGGAGGTTTTTCTTGATGTCCAACCTAAACCGCCCTTGCTGCAATTTAATCCCATTGCTTCTTGTCCTAGCCTCAGAGGTTAAGAAGAATTTTTCTCCCTCTTCCTTGTAACAACCTTTTATGTACTTGAAAACTGTTATGTCCCTTTTCAGTCTTCTCGTCTCAAGACTAAACAAACCCAATTTTTTCAGTCTTCCCTCATAGGTCATGTTTTCTAGACCGTTAATCATTTTTGTTGCTTTTCTTTGGACTTTCTCCAATTTGGCCACATCTTTCCTGAAATGTGATGCCCAGGACTGGACCCAGTACTCCATTTGAGGCCTAATCAGCGTGGAGTAGAGCGGAAGAATTACTTCTTGTGTCTTGGTTACAATACTCCTGCTAAATACATCCCAGAATGATGTTTGCTTTTTTTGCAAGTGTTACACTGTTGACTCATATTTAGCTTGTGATCCACAATTACCTCCCATGTCTTACATACACCCTGCCTGTCCGTGCTCTGGCACTTGTTCAAGTTTTCCATAGAAATCAGCTTGAAAAGTGTGATCCCACATCACTCTGAGGGCACACTTTGAGGAGGGGGATATCAGGGACAATGTGTCTTGAACTCTGGGCCACAGGTTCTCTTAGGAGCCAGTAAATTCCAACCTGCCAACCAGTGACCTTAATAGTTATATTTGTATCAACTGCTAAAATTTGCAATTTTCATGTCTAAGGCAGTTGAGGTTTCTATTATTAATGGCATGCATCTCCCCCTTTAACAGAGTGGGCTTTTACAGTCAGTGGTTCCATTTGTTCTCAGATAATAAATCTAAAGACAGGAGTTAGTGAGGGGCTGTTTTATCTCTATTTCTTTTGTAAATAGAAGACCAGAGAAAAATGGGAAGAATTTTCCTTTTCTGTTCTCCCTAGGAACTGTACAGCTGTGTTTCAACATGTATCTAGCAACCTGGCACTTTAAAGTGCCCTCTCCCCCGAAAAGTGACTCTGTAAAAATGGCATCTTCTTACTTAAAAGGCCTGCTCCCTCTTTGCTCACTTGGACGAACATAAGCTTTTTATCAGTACTTACTTCTGTTAGCCCTGTAGGACCCATGTAGCTATGGAAGCTAGATTCTTTTCTGGCTTGCATATTATCGGAAGAGGTGTTAAAAGCACCATGTCTAGAATCTTTACTATTGATGTGTGATTCAGAAAGAATCCAGTTAGATTTTTAGACTTCATGTTGAGATCACAGACTGGCTGTTAGAAACAACATCACTGAGACACAAACATGGATCCCCATTATGCTATTTTTACAGAGTAATTTTTTCAGAACTGCACTATACATGTTTTCAACAAATAAAAGCTGCAACTTTACAAATGAAAACTTGATCTTCCTAGGCCTACATCCAGTCATTTTAGGTTTCACAATTATCAGACACATACTAATTATATTTGCCAGACAGCAGGATGCACTTAAAGCCTTTACTTTGCTCAACTGCTTTATTTAATTGTCCTGTACATTCCAGGAAGTTGGGCAACCTCCCTTTCACTCCAACGGTTAAATAGTAATTTGACTGTGAGAAAAGGTTCCAGGGAGTATTAGAAATCTAATACTAATGCTCCATCAATATTAAGAGAACTATGTCGACTACAAACAGGCCATCCTATGCTCATCCACTATTCATCACGACTATACAGCAGTCTTTTTTCTGACATAGCCCTGTGTCAGCTGTTGCTGGCTTATGCACCCCTACCATGCTACATAGCTGTGTGTGTACCCATACATTCTGGGAACATCTGAGCAGCCATCCCATGCTGACTGAGGGAGTGGATTGTGGGTTTTTTCCCCTTCGTGCAATGCACTTTGGAATGTCTTCCCATATCCGGGAGAGAGGAGAATTGACTGCCTAGGTTATGCAAACAGTCCTATCTACACTACAGAACGCCATTCACCTACAGATGTTACAGACTGACTCACTATCAAAGCCAGAACACAATATAGCCACTAATTTAGGAACATGTTAACAATGTTATGTGAAGGGACTGTATTTAAATGAACTCTTATAGAGGCTGGTCACAAACTCAAACTCCATTGTGACAACAGGATCCAAGTCCTTCTGTGACCTGATGATTCTTTCACTTTGTACCGCTTTGCAACTTTGTCCCCACTCACAGCTCTGCTACGCTGCAACAGACCTTTTTGTCTGTTGGACTGGACCCCCTCCAGAGCATGGCAACTGTTGCTCAGCCAGCAAGATAGATTGTTGAATAGGAGGTTCACCTTACTTTCTGAAGGTAAGCATGCTGCCTCACAATTCTTCCATGTCCCCACCAACCCAGGGAGAGGGGAAAAAAAGACTAGAACATCACAAAGTGAACCTAAATCTGCACTGTAGCAATGCATAGCGCTACTACGCTAATTTTCCTTTCCAAAGAAATTGCTTACTCATGATTATCCTTTTACGTCTCTGCCCTGCTTTAAACATATACAACAAGAATGACCTTTATAAGTTATCTTATTAGTAGCACAGTATTCCACATCAACTGAACAGACTGTGTTAAAACAATACCATTTTATCTTGCAACTTCACAATGAACTGTCTATTGCCATAAAAGCAATCTTACATTCTTGCTGTAACTTTTGAAGTTGGGAATCCAAACTGATTTTCTTAGGAAATGAGCCAGGGATAAACATATAAGAGAAATTATGATTGATATATATTTAGCTGATCAGATAATACTGCCAGCAACAGTGGCACTTGTGAACCTCAATTCACATAACTCCTTTAAACTTATGTTCAACTGTTCCAACTCTTGCACACTTATTAATTTCTCCAGCTCAACAATAGCTCAGATTTTGGCCCTGAAAGTCCTTTTTATATGACATTTTATCATGGGATCTCAAAACACTTCAGCTAAAAACACACCTTAGAGGATTCATATTACTCCTATTTTACAGAGGAAGCAAAATACGTTAAATAACTGGATTAGAGTCAAGGCAAGGGAGACAAGGCTGTTTTGGAAAAGCTAAATGAATTCTTTGCGTCGGTCTTTACTGCAGAGGATGTGAGGGAGATTTCCACACCTGAGCCATTCTTTTTCGGTGACAAATCTAAAGAACTGTCCCAGACTGAGGTGCCAATAGAGCAGGTTTTGGAACAAATTGATACATTAAACAGTAATGAATCACCAGGACCAGATGGTATTCACTGAAGAGTTAACTGTGGTATGTAACCTACTGCTTAAATCAGCCTTGTAACAGGTGACTGGAGGATAGCTAATGTGACACCAATTTTTAATAAAAGGCTCTAGAGGTGATCCTGGCAGTTACAGGTGGATAAGCCTAACATCAGTCCCAAGCAAACTGGTGGCAACAATAGTAAAGAATAGAATTATCAGAGACAGATGAACACGATATGTTGGGGAAGAGTCAACATGGTTTTTATAAAGGGCTATCATTCCTCACTAATCTATTACAATTCTTTGAGGGTATCTACAAACATGTGGCCAAAGTGATCCAGTGGATCACTTTCAGAAACCCTTTGACAAGGTCCCTCACCAAAGGTTGTTACGCAGAGTAAGGAGTCATGGGATAAGAGTGAATGTCCTCTCATGGATCAGTAACTAGTTAAACAGAAAACAAAGGGTAGGAATAAACGGTCAGTTTTCACAATGAAGAATGTTAAATATCAGGGTCCCCAAGGATCTGTTGGGACCAGTTCTTTTCAACATGTTCACAAATTATCTGGAAAAAGGGGCAAACACTGGAGATGACAAAGTTTGCAGATGATGGAGAATTACTCAGATTAGTTAAGACCAAAGCAGACCATGAAGAGTTACAAAGGGATCTCACAAAACTAGTGGCAGGAAAATGGCAGATGAAATTCAAGGCTGATAAAAACAAAGTAATGCACATAGGAAAACATAATCCCAACTATACAAACAAAGTGATGAGGTCTAAATTAGCTATTACCACTTAAGAAAGAGATCTTGTGGACAGTTCTCTGAAAACATCTGCTCAATGTGCAGC